CTCACTTGCATTAAATGCCAGTTTCTTCGTTGCCTGAAGACTTGTTAATGGTTCCAATTCCTGAAGTTGGTTATATATTCTAAGTGCTTTTTCTTTTATATGTTTCCCATCAATAGGTATTCTTTTTGACTGTAAATCTTCTGTCCAAAACACCATGTGTTTTTTCGTTTTCTCTAAGATAGGATTTCGACTATAAGATGATGTTTTGGAGCTTACTTTCGATCCAGAAATTACGGATTGTCGAATGGAATTTTCATTTTTTCTAATTGTTCTTATAGTCGCTTCGTTTAAACCAAAAGCTTTGCCAACAGATGTGAGACCTTCGCCTTTCTTTAGACAGTCTAAGATTTTTATTTTAGTTTCTACGGAAATTGCTTGTCTCTTCGGAAGTTGTTGTTTAGGCATTTTATTAAACAATAAGGGTACTATAAAAAGAATCCAAAATAATATTGCTTATAGAATTTTTCTAAAGCGACAATCTAACATAATATTACCTTTTTTAGTAGCAAAGAATTATCATCATTACAAATAATACACTGGAAATTTCACCATCGAATTAAAAAAACTTTAATTTAAACATCCACTTTTAGAACTTTATCGAGATTATTTATTATGTCTCACAAACTGACCACTCTTAACACAAAATAAATACTGCATAACGAAATCCCGTGTTCAAGTTGAAGCACAACGAGATAAAGAAAAAAAGTTAACATAAAATTCTGGTATCCCCCGTAGTAGACCAAGTTATAAACATGTGGGCATAAACGGACCGACTTCTGACCACGGTATTCCCCCATTGTATTTTGTTACTGTATACATAAGTTTCTGTAAGACGCTATCAAAATTAGAATTAAAAAAAAAATGTATTGGTGAACCGAAAAAGAGTTGGGTGTATGTCCAAAAAAGTTATATTTTTTTCAATATTAATTTTGTCCACCTAGATTTATGAAATGGGCCACTGTGAGACGGGTTTAAAGGTTTAAATTTTTTGGAATAATTTGGTAAAGATTTAAAATTTTTGACGTCATCGATATATTTTTCAAGCAGCAATGCCCCATTTCTATTACGGAATATGAAAGAGGACTTTCTTCTGACTCTAATACAGTCAAGATTAATATTGATTACATAAGAAAATTTTCGAGAAAAATTATCTTAAAGTTTCATTATTTTCTATTCTTTTGAGATAGAAAAATAGCAGTAGCCATGCATAACCATGGCAACCAACTGTTTCAGACATTCAAAATTAATCATGGTCTTAATAAAATATCTGAAGCAACTGGTTACCATGGTTACGCATGACTACTGCTATTTTTCTACCTCAAATGAATGGAAAATCATGAAACTTTAAGGCAATTTTTCTCGAAAATTTTCTTATGTAGCTAATATTAATTTTGGCTGAACCAAATTCAGAAAAAAATCCTCTTTCATATTCCGTAATAAAAACTTATATAAAAATGGTGGAAAAAATTTAATATCTATACCAAAAAATTTTAATCCTTAGACCCCTCTCAGCGATTTTTCCATAAACCGTTTATAATTGTTTTAACGAATTTATCCGTTAGTTTTGGGAAGCACTGTATATTTTTTATAAATCTTTTATGTTATAAATTCAATTAGTATTAACAAGCCGCAACCAAATATACATAAGTAACTATATGTCTGTAAGAACTTTATATGGTAAGTGAGTGGTTTATAACTATTGAAATTGTTTTTGTTTGCCAACGTCAACCGACCCGTTTAAAACTTAAAATATCATGCTAAGAATATTGTAAAGAAGACTTCACAGAAAACTTTCACGAAACTGGCTTTCTATATGGCTTTCTATAGCCTCAAGTCGTTTCAAACTACCCAAAAGTTGTTAGTTTAGGTGAAATTTAATACTAACTTGTTATAACTTTCTACGGACAGACGCGTTATTATATAATATTTATTGTGATATTAAGTGTTTTATTTATTCCTAGTTTTACACCGAATAGTTCAAAACTATAACCACATAGTTTTTATGAATGTTTTTATTATTTAATGGAAAGATGGCAATATCGTTCTTGTGTTTTTTAATCTTTTAACTACTTACTTGTGCGTTAATGGGCCCACAAACGGGTTTGCTATCAACTGCACAAATGCCTTCGAGGCCAACATCATTCCTACGTCCACCGTCTCCTCCACCAAATCTTGGTGACGTAATTGTCTGTCTCTTTCCAGCTGTACGGAAGCGTTAACTAAAACAAAAAATAAACATAAGATACATTCTTGAATATGAAGAATATGAAAATGATTGTTTTTTATTTTACCTGTTGGTTCAATAGTTGCTAATGTGTCGTTAAAATTTTCGTCAGGAACTTTATTATTGTTAACTGGACATGGTGAGGAAGTTGTGGTAATGGTTGATTTTAATTCGTGTAATCTTTGCCCGGCAGTTAAAGGTGCATCTGGGTGGTTGATGTCGTATAAGAATTCGGGGATGATAGGCACTGAAAAAAAAAATAGAACAGTTAATTTTCTGAATATGAACTGAGATTAAATTTAATGACTATAACACAAAAATTGTTAGAGTTACAAAAAAATACTAGTTAAAGCTCTTGCTGTCATTGAAGTAATTAAAGTTTAATGATCGGATAACAACAAATCAGGTTGCAGGAATGCATAAACGCACTATCATCCTTCGATATCAAACAGCAGTTTCGAACATATGTAAGTGGTCACATCCGCAATATGTCGGGGTAGAATAAAAGCTTGGGGTCTCCATAATATTACAAGGATAATAGATAAAATAGCTGATGTATTAGCTACGTGAAAGTCGCCTGATGAAGTGCACCCATAACTTGAAACTTAAGGACCGAAATTCCTTGTTCTTATAGATTTTCTATACATAGACACTCCCGTGCGAGTATTCTTGTAACGGCGTTGTTGAAGAAATAAAGAGTATAAGCATCTTTCACAAGTGAATATTTGCCTGTTTTCATTGTTTGACGGCTTTTCAATGATGTTACGAAGAAGAGACGATGTTACAAGTGAGCAAATTAAGTTCCTGTAAGTCGTGGCATAATTTTAATCACAAATACTAGA